TTTTTTAATGTGTACATGAAGGGTAAAAATTGTATCTTTCCTTAAAAGACTGGATGAAATTGTATTAATATGTTAATAGTGTCTACCCAAGTTTATGTGCAATTTTAATAAATGTATCCAATATATATATATATATATTTTTTTTTAAGGCGTATTAGGTGAGTTTGCAGCTGGTGGTTAGAGGAGTTGAGGGGGTGAGGCTGGACTGGGAAAGAAAGATGGTGCCGCTATTAGTTCATGTCTAACATATAAAACAACAGGGGAGAGAAGATGAAGATGAAGGTGAGTGGTAGGCGTGTTGGGATGACTGGGACTTGGACGAGGATCTGGTGCCTTCCTGACTCTGCAGTCCAGGCCCATGGCTGGTATTGCATCCACTCCAGTTTCTTCCTTTGTCTTTGGTGGTTTGCTTCCTGTCTTAGCCTGAAGACCAAGTGACCAAGAACCCTTCCGTGTCAGTAGTGCAAGGGCTAGTTGTTCCTCTTCAATTCTTGCTTTTAAGATGGTGGAAAATAATTTCAGCTTCCTGCAGAGGGCTTTGAAATCTTGTCATGGACAGTCACCTCAAGCTGGTAGTTGGAGTGCAACCTGCTTGCTAATAAACCAAAGCAGGACCCCAGTGTCAAAATACTTAAAACGGTCAAATCAACTGGGACCCCATTTCTGCATTTGACATGCCTTTTCCATTTCCCAGCCTCGTGCGGATCATAAACTTGAATCAGGAGGTGGTTCAGTGTGAACTCTTATAAATTGGAGTGGGTATCTAGGGACTGGGGAGTGGACACTTCTTCTTTTAACCTTTGAAGGCCAAGAATCATTTGGCCAAAAATCCACAACATATTGAACTTCAAATGTGAAAGCCCATACAGTGTATTAAATGTGAATATGAGGCCGTGAATTCTACCCACACCGACTCTATAAAACAGCCTCCTTTTTTCATAAAGCAGGCCCATAAACTGCTGCCAGCGAAGCAGAAAGACTTCTCAGGACTGTGGCTTGCCTTCCATCTGGGGTTGTCAACAAACCCCCTTTATGAGTGGAATAGACCTCTTGTATGTGTCGAGCTTCTGGCTTTTTACAGAGTGTGTTCGGAGCCAGGCTAGGCAAACGTTAGGCGCTGTTTGCTGAGTGCATTTATTGCCTTTGCATAATTTATGAGCTGGAGGGTTGACCATCATTCGTCTCTGCCAGGGGCTGGCACTCGAGGCTCCAGAGAGCAGAGCTGTAAATTGGATGGTGCGCTCCTGCTGAGCTCACGGCAAAGTCCTCGGGTCAGTATGGGAATTTAATACCAGAAATGGAACTGTTTTCTCAGCGCACCATGTGGGCCCCAGCGCAGCAGAGACTGTTTTGGCAGACTCTGTGACTGGCCTTGTCTAGGAGCTGTCACTCAGCCGGCATGTTTTGTGGGGAGCCTGAGTATTTTTAATCGGCTTGGCATCCGCGCTGCTTCCATAATGGATACCAGTAGGTCTCAGTTCTTCACCATATGCTTAACTCTGGAGACAAGGTGCTTCTGGGTATATCAGTAATTACTTGATGCAGAATTAAGTGGACCTTGAAATTAGAACTGGACTGTTGGAAAGCAGGAAGCTTAACACTATGATGGAAATAACCATTCCCGGGGACATACTGCTGTTAGGATGGGGGCGGGGGCACTGGTTCTTTCCCAGTTCCCCTCTCCCCCACACACACAGATCCGTGGGGATGTGGGCAACTGCTATGCCACAGCCTTCAGCTGTCATCGATTACCTCACAAGGAGAGCTGTGAACAGCTGGGAGAATGAGCTGCCTGGCAAAATGACCCTCTCCTGTGCTCCTCCTGAACCGTGCTTTGTCACTCTGAAAATATGCCCAGAACTTAGGAACCTCAAGGAGGGCTTAATTAAAGGCAACAGAGAGATCACATGACCAGGAGGACACTGCTCCTCTTCCATCTGCTCTTCCAGGCCTTCAGAGTCTTCATCTCATCTATTTTCTTTCTCAACTCTTTTGACTTATTGTAATAGGAGAATTGCTGGTCAGGCAAAAGAGTATAAAACCAGACCATCTGACGTTAGAAGGTTGGTAGGAAGTGATGCTGCTGTACTTGGTAAAATCACTGCCACTCAGTGCCTGATAATCCTGTGGCACCAAGGAGCCAGAGGGAAAAAGAGAAAGTGTTATAACCCTCTGGTCTGTAAGATTGCAATTTAAGGTCCTAAATGCTTATGGTACAGAGTACTTAGTCTGGAACAAGGAAGTAGTCCCCACATTGTATCTTATAATATCAGGATGTTCATTTGAGAGAGGCTTTTGTACCATCCATTGAAGGCACTCTAATAGTAATTTAAACAGTAAGATAACTTACTGTTTTCTGAACCAAAAAAGTCCAGAGGCAAGATGCTCTGAGATGGGTTCCCTGGCTCAATTATCTGAGCCTTTTCATCCCTTGGCTTACCATCTTGCTTTTGTATGTAGGCTTTGCCACAGTTTGGCAAGATGGTTGTCACAGGACCAGACTCCACACCATTATATAGTTATGTTAAAGGGAAGCAGGCAAGCTATTTCTGCCTTTCTACTTTCATTTCATAGAGTGTTTTTTTTTTCTAGAACCCTCAGTAGATTTCAAATCTCACAGTCCAAAACTGAGTCTTATGGATACGAATAGCTGTAAGAGAGAAACTTGGGACAGAGAGTATCTGCCTTTCTCAGCCTCAGAGTATCAGGAGAATATACAGACAAGGAGAGAGAGTTTTAAACAGCTCTGGGTATCTATCCAGCAGTGAGTGCCTTCCCAGCAAGAAATTTTATTTTCCATTTTTGTTCATAGCTATACTGACTCCGAGACCAGGTGGCCACACTAAAAAACTTGGCATCCTCTTAGAGTCATCCCCACCACTTCCTTTCCATATCCTCAGTTATCAAATCCTACTGGTTCTCCCTTCTGAAATGCTCTGCCATCTGTTTCTCCCTTTCCAAAACTAGGCACTGTCCTGGTGTAGATGGTGTAACAGTTGCTGAACTGCTTTCCCTGTGACCTCCTTCCTCACTATGTATTCTGCCCTGTGCCCCATGGAAAGTCACCTCAAAGGAATATGGTGCTGACCAAACCACAGCCCTGCTCAGTGTTTGTGCTTTAACCTTATGTCCCTTGCTAAATGGAAAGGTACTTGAGGAAAGCTACCACATCTTGGTTGATTATCTGTTTACCTTAGCAGTGCCTTCTCAAGGGCTGTTGAGGTGGGTGATGGATATATTTATCTACTGAGCATCTTCTCTTTTCAAACATATCTCCCATTTTTTTTTCTTTTTATTGAGTTTATTGGTACATTCTAAGTATACAGTACAGTTACATTCATTACTGGGATCTTGTACCTTTACATGACAGGTCTTGGTTCTCATTTTTTCCCCTTGTCCCTGCCCTCCCTTCACCCCTTCCTCCCCTCCACATTTACAAACACTTTATTTCCATTTTTTCATTCTCTCTTATTTTTTTTCTTTTCCCTTATTCCCTTTCCCCTACCCTTCCCACTTTCCCTACACCTTTAGCCCTTTTCTTCCTATTTCACATCATTAATTATCCCATTAGGATCTCGTGTTATACTGTTATAGTTTTTCACACCAGAGAAACTATTCAGTATTTACACATGTGTGACTTATTTATTTCACTTAGGAGTATATCCTCAAAATGTATCCATTTTCCTATGAATGACTCTAATTTCTCATTCTTTATGGCTGAGTAGTATTCCATTTTATAGAAAAACCACATCTTCTTTATCCAGTTTCCAACTGATGGGCAAATGGGCTGTTTCCATGTTTTAGCTATTACAGACTGCGCTGCTATAAATATAGGTGTGCATATGTCACTGTGATAGGATTCTTTTAATTCTTTTGGAAAGATACCCAGCAGAGTTGTGGCTGGGTCAAATGGAACCTCTAGTCCCAGCTCTTTGAGGTATCTCCATATTGATTTCCGTAGTGGTTGCACCAGTCTGCGCTCCCACCAACAATGGAGAAGGGCTCCTTTCTCCGCACAACCCCACCAACATTTGTTATTGGTTGATTTCTTGTTAGCAGCCATTCTTTGTGGGTTGAAGTGGAATCTCAGTATTGTTTTCATCTGCATCTCTCAAATGACCAGTGATGCGTAACATTTTTTCATATATTTACTTGCTGCTTTTACTTCTCTGTCTGAGAAATGTCTGTTCATTTCAGATGCCCATTTTTAAATTTGGTCTTTATATTTGGGGGATAGCCCCCATTTTTAATCTAATATTGATTAACAAAATGTTCTTGGGTTTCATAAGAATTTTTTCCCCTTTTCTTCTGGTGAGAAATCCACTACTGTGTGTTATCCTACTGTGGTTATCCTAGACCTATCTCAATAGTTGGACTTTAGGATTTGTTAGATAGGATGTTGGGTCTACCGCTGTGAGGCATGTATATTTTTTACACATATTCTTGATCTCTCATCCTACCTCTTATGTTGATGTGTTCTCTACAAGGAATGCTCTTTCTGTTCTCAGCCATCACAAGTAGTAGCCCTTGCTCATTATGTTCTGTTTCCCTTAAAGTCCAAATGAGAGAATGCAGTGCTCAAAGCTTTACCCCTATCCTTTAGAGAAGCTCCAGAGAGAGAGACAGCCTTTCAGAGAAGCTGAAGGCAGAACACTTCTGGATTGAGACTGGTTTTGCTGTGCAAACATGAAAGGATCTTGGTTGCCTCCATCCCATACAGTGCTGGTTCCTCCGTGGCTGTGCCCTGTGCACGCAGTGGCTGTGCTCATTTGTGTGACTGAGTTCATGCTGTCCTTACCCCAGGAAGAAAACAGGGCACAGGCAGCAGGTGAACTCCACAGAACAACATGTGCTTCTGATGCTCTATGCTAGCACTGAGCTGAAGAAACTCCAGCTCAGACATTTCCTGTTTACTCCTCTAGCCCTGTTTGGAAGGACAGGGATCAAAAGCAAAAGCATAATCATAACACTAACATTTGTTCTCTTGTCTTCATTTGCAGTGTGACAGTGACAGTGACCAGGAAGAAAAGGTAAGACCCCCACACACGCACATACACTGGCACAGCACAGAGCAAACCTTGAGCACAATGGTCTTCTCTCATGTGGCCACAGGGTAGGATGCCAGCTTCGTGTGGCCAGTGCCTTTTCTCTTCCAAAAGATGGGCATTATCCACACAGCAACATGTCCTATAATAAGATGTAATGTGTTTAACTTACAAGGTACACTTTTTAAAAAATAATCTCTTTAACATGCATACGTGTGATATTGAGTTTTCACTTTGTAGAAGATGACTTACAGGCCAAAAAAACATTTTTAAAGAGGAAATTGTTTTTTAACCCACAGTGGGGACATGAAACTTGTTACTATGTATTTTTTATGTCATCTCTGCCTTCCTTTTGCTGACCTGTGTGCCTCCTCCTGCTTTTCTGTACATATCTCCAACTAAATAGAAATTTAGGGGCATGTTTCTAGGAATCCCATCTGGGCTGGGGGTGGTCAGGGGAGGTCAGGTGGGAGCTGCTAGGTGGGAAGGCAGTTCTTCCAGCAGGTACATCCTCTGTTTCAAGGCTGTTGGCCACCAGCTCCACGTGGATGAAGAAAAGAAGCTCAGTTTCTGGGCTTCCAGAAGATTGGATCATAACCTGGTAATGTGAGCTTTCTGCTGTCTGAAGCAAAGGGATTGTGTGTTTGGTCATTTTTTTCCAGCTGTACCAATCTACCAACCAAATTTCTTTCCACTTCTATTTTTGTTTATATATTTTGAAAATAGTTGCCTAAATATCATGCTTTGTAAATGCTTGGCACCTGAAGGACAGACTATGCCTTCCCCCATTTCTGAATCTGTCCTGGTCCCAGCTCTTTGACTTTTACCTCCCCTACATGATTGTGGATTACACTCAGGATTCTGTGGTTGGTATTTAGTAAGTTCTTTCCATCAAGCCCGGAGTTTTTTCCTCCTTCTTTGCTGCCAGCCTCCAAGAGAGATCTAAAGGCTCTTGTTCTGTCCTGTCGTTAATTTGAATTCAGCATATGTAGCCTGTTATAAAATGCGAGACATCATCATTTGAGCAGGTCAAGCATATTCAGATGAAGACAAATGGTGCTTATTTGATTTCCTTAAAATCAGGAAATGAAAAAAGTGCTCTCTGGAGAAATCATGTTCTGGCTGACTTGGATGATAGACCAATGCATGTCCCCCAGATAAGAACAGGCTCTCGCCTTGAGGTTTTTATCTCTGAAGGACGGCCAGGACTGTCAGCTTGCTGACATGTGCATTATCCATGTCATTTTAAACAAAGTGACCTATGGAAGGGTGCGCTGTGCTGTGACATGGTAATGGGCTGTTGGATGACAGCGAAAGTACACAGTGGAAAGGGGGCCATGGATTATTCTTTTGTTTAACTGACAAGTAGAAGCTTCCTTCCTCCAACCCCCAGGAATCTTAGCTCCTTACAAGTTCGTCCCCTGGTGTCTCAGGAAGTCAGTGTGCAGTGGGTACCAGGGACAAGTGGGCAGCAGTCATGGCCCTGTATTTGAGATATTGTCACTGTCCACCTGAGTCCCCCAGGTCACATTCACACACAGCAATCATCTCCCTGTTGGGCCTCACTGAAAGCCAGGAAGGGACAACAACCTCTGGCCATTTCGGCAGATCCATAGGCATTGGTTGAGTTCACTTTCCAAGTCTGTGGCCCTTCTCCAAAAGGATGAGCCTGATTCAGGGTTTCATCAACAAGCAAACATCTTTCTTTAAAAGAAAATATGAATTCCAGAAACATAACTCACCTTCAGGATAGTAGAAGATGGTGAGGCTGTCCATTTTGCATTCCTTGTACCTTGCCCAGTAACCATGGCGTTGGCTACACACCCAAGTCCCCTGAGGTGCTGCTTTCTACAAGGCCTATCACCTGGGCTTCACCTCTGGTCACTTACTTTGGAGTCTCTGGGGACCTCAGCCACCGCTGGTCTAGATTATCACTTGACTCTGGTAATTTCTAGAATACAGCTGCCATGTACTCAGAGAGATTCAGGGCTGTGGTGCTTCTTGCATGTCAAGGGCACCCTAACTAATCCTCTCCTGAACTCCCAAGTCATTTTGCTCAGGTTTCCATCTCTGAATGCAAGCAGAAACAAAGCATCAGACAAAAATGAATGATGGGGGTAGAGAGGTAGCCCATACCAACCACACAGGGTTTGAGATGGCTGCAGGCAGATAACAAAGGGAAAATTAGGCAAGCCCAAGAAAGTGGTGATGAGGGGAAGGCATGGGCATCAGGAGTGTTCCTCTGCTTCCTGGCATGCTTTCTGCCTAGGCCCCAGGCTGTTTTTCCTTTGCACCTTGGCACTCCTGCAGGATGCCTTACCAGGAGTCCCACCACAGCCAGCAGTCTCATCAGCTGTCCCTACCCTGCCACACAGCACTTCTCTAGAGGGCTCCCAGCAGGAGCAATCAACCCTCAGTAATTGCACTTGTGCCTGCTTGGCCCTGTTGTAGCTAAGACTGTCAGGCTTCCCCTTTTGGACTGGGATTGTCTGGTGTGTATCACCAACTTGAACACCAACTTCCCAGACTGCTCTGTAGGAGCCAGGGCCCCATCAACCTCCTGTGTGTGAGAACCTCTTGCGTGTGCCCCTCGGAGCCTGGCACTAACCGGGGCTGCTTTCATGTGCTGCTTGGAGGATTCGCATTCAAATCTGAATTGCTAATGGCAGAATCGATGCCACTCAGTGTCCTGAGATCCCTTCAGCAAGCCCCACCAGGGATGCCGCGGGAGTCAAAAGTGAGACTTGTAGGGACCCACTGGGATTTCTCTCTGGAAGACTTGTCATTCTTTCTCCATAGGGATCCGCAGAACTGGCGGTCTAAAATTAGGGTACTATATTTCACACAGCTGACTGATTTAAGATAAACTCTGCTTTCCTCTGATACGAAGCTGTAATTTATAAAATGATACCCTTACTAATTAATGTGGAAGTGACTAGGAAAGGGGCTAAATAAGCAGAGCTTTCCCCAAATGCAGGAAACAGACTTGTACATGGAAAAGGCTTTGATGAGACAGAGCCAAACATCCCCGATCCTCCACTCCCGCCACGTGAATACATTTCTTATTAATGTCAGAGAACCTGGAGGACTTTTGTGAAGAGTAAAAATTTGGTGGGGAGTTAGAGAAAGCTGTGAACACACTGCATCTCAGATGTGGGATTATTCTTTGTAGTTAGAGCAAAGAAAAGAAGCAGCATTTGGCACCTTATTCACCCAAATTAAGCAATTATTCCAATCCCCCACTTGAAATAAATTGGTATCATGAGAACAAAGAGGTAACGTGCATATTTCCACATATTTGGCCTATGTTTTCTTTTGTTTCCTTGCTTTCTCTACCACTGGCAGCAGCCCATTATGTTAAGCAACACCCCCTATTTGGTTATGAAGTTAATGTAGAGATTAAAAATAATTCTCTCCCCAAAGACTCTTCCTTTCTATTGTGTGCCAATGATAGAGCCAACTGGAAGTCATATCGCCCAGGGGTCAGACCCTTGGGCCTTTGCGTCTGATGGCCCAGGGTTGTTTCTGACTCTGGCCCTCAGTACTTTGCTGCTGAGGACAAAGTCTGAATTTTCTTTTCTGCCAGACAGGATGATAAGAGTATTACCCATGTTCTTGGAACAAGTAAATGAAGGCACTTGGCTCAATACCTGCTCCATAGTAAATGCCCAGTAAATGTTACTGAGCATAATAAATGCTCATTGAATGTTACTTGGGGAAAGAAGAAGACTGACTTCCTCTTTGGAAAGCTCTGACTCTGCTGGAGAACCTGCCAGAGGGCTCCACCAGCACCTGCAGCTCAGCTGTCATCCTCAAGGGCACTCTTTCCTGGTACAGGCCAGATGCAAGTGATAAACTTTAAAGGGTCCCCAAATGATGTGTATGAAACCCCTTATCCAAACGCTGGGCTTTCCTCTGAACATAACTTGGAGCCAAGGTAAGTGTGCTGACCTGGGGACCAGATGGTGATCAAGTGAGCTGGACAAGATCTGTCCCTTCAGCATCTGTTCCCAGATGCCAGACACTGTGGGCTCATGGGGGAAAGTTCTGACTCAGTACTTTCTGTTTGAGGGGGTATCCAGAGGATCTCTAGTTTTTAAAAGAGCTTCCTAGGTGATACCTTGGTACACAAGTGATTTTAAGACTCAGTGTCTTACAACAAATGCCAGAAGAAAATTCTCCTTGCCCCATGTTTACTGTTCTTGAAATTTTTACATTTAACAGAAAGACTTGAAGGCTGCAGAGGTGTTACATGTGTTCATGTTGGCATGCCATACATGCTGATTTGTGTAGATATCTGGTATAAGCATAGAGTACACACATACACAGTCACACAGAAATGAGCCTTTCTCCTTTTCCTAAAAAAGCTTTTCACATGGCTCATGACTGCAGTTTTTCCTGCCCCCTGTTCCCTCTCTGGTCAGATAATAAGCAATAGAAATAACTACCTGGAAAAGGGGTGCTGGGTTTGAGTGCTTTGCTCTCCAGTGCCCAGCACCGTCCACTGGGACACTAGCTAAATTCAGATACAATATCACCATTTCCCTTGTCCACTCTCCCTCCATCCACATGTATACTTCTTAGTTCATTCTAACTTTTTAATTCATGTTAAACTTTGTTGTGTTCATGTGTGTGAGAAAGTGGCAGCTTCTAAGAAAAGCAGCAGAGAAAAGCTGTAGAAGCTTATATTCCTAACTCAACACAAACCACATGCCTAACTTGGCTCAGGAAGGACTCAGAAACTGCTGAGATGTCAAATTGAAGACTGGGTATGTGGCTTCTGCTTATAGTGGAAGAGTCCCATCCCTTGATTGACCATGTTTCACACTTGGTGAAGTTTGTGCACCCTCAGCAACATTCCAGAAGCTCAAAAGGCCCTCAGTGTTGCTTGTGAAACCCTTATCCTTGGTTTTAAAATAAGACATGTTTTGGTCAGGAGACAGTTTAGAGGTGCTGTCTTATTCCACAGCTAGAAAAGGAAATTC